TTATGGTGTTGGAGGAGAATATTGCAAGTGTCATGGGCTGCCAAAAGAACCAATAGATCCATTTTGGAAGATCCATTTTGGAAGCCAGAGTGCTCCTTAGAGGCCAAGATAGGCCAAACTTTGTCTCTCATACTTTGGACATATTGTCAGGAAGGAGCAGTCGCTGGAGAAAGATTATCATGTTTGGTAAGGTGGAGGGTCAGAGGAAAAGAGGAAGACCCCCAACGAGATGGACTGGCCAAGTGGCAGCATCAATGGACTCAAGCATGGCAACAAAACTGAGTTTGGCCCAGGATCGGGCAGTGTTTCATTCTGCTGTACATAAGGTCGCTATGGGTCGGTACTGACTCAATGGCACCTAACAACAACAACATATATTACAGTGGGAGAAAAATGAAGCTTTCTGCTCCCGTAAAGATTTACAGCCTTGGAAACCTATACCTACCTATACAGGATCACTGTGAGTTGGAACCTAATCCATAGCATGTAATCACCATCACCACCATATATATTAGAGTCCTGGATAAGTACTGGATTGAAAGGTTGGTTTGAACTACAAGGTTGGCAGTTCAAATCCACCTGCTGCTCCTCGGAAGCCCTATACAGGGTCACTATGAGTCGGAACCGACTTGCCAGCAGACAACAACAACATATATAGGTATGTTGTTGTTGTTTAGTACCGTGGAGTTGGTTCCGACTCACAGTGACCCTGCACAGGGTTTCTGAGGCTGTAAATCTTTATGGGAGCAGAAACCCTCATCTTTCTCCCATGGAGCAGCTGATAGTTTCGAACTGCCAATCTTGAGGTTAGCAGCCTGATTCGTAACCACTATGCTAGTCTTAACCGACCTGTATAGCGACCCTGTATAGGGTTTCTGAGGAGCAGCTGGTGAGCTTGAACCACCAACCTTGCAGTTCAAATAGCTTTGCAGTCTGGCGCATTAACCCACAGCACCACACCAGTTCTCTCTCATATATATATATATATTTGTTGTTGTTGTTGTTATGTGCCATTGATATATTTGTTGTTGTTGTTGTTATGTGCCATTGAGTCGGTTCCAACCCATAGCGACCCTGTATAGGGTTTCCGAGGGTGTAAATCTTTACGGGAGTAGAAAGCCTCATCTTTCTCCCGCGGAGCAGCTGGTAGTTTCGAACCGCTGTATATATATATATATATATATATACATATGTTGGTGTTGTTATGTGCCGTGGAGTCGGTTCCGACTCATAGCGACCCTGTACAGGGTTTCCGAAGCTGTAAATCTTTACAGGAGCAGAAAGCCTCATCCTTCTCCCGCAGAACAGCTGGTAGTTTCGAACTGTCAACCTTGCAGTTTGCAGCCCGATTCGTAACCACTACGCTACCAGAGCTCCATATATATATATATATACACACATACACATATATAAGGAGCTCTGATTGCGTAGTGGTTACGAGTCAGTCTGCAAACTGCAAGGCCAGCAGTTCGAAATTACCAGCTGTGTTGCAGGAGAAAAATGAGGCTTTCTACTCCCATAAAGAGTTGTTGTTGTTGTGAAGTGCTGTCAAGCTGATTCAGACCCATAGCGACCCTGTATAAGGTTTCCGAGGAACAATTGATAAGCTTGAACTGCCGACCTTGCAGTTCAAATGGCTTTGCAGTCTGGTGCATTAAGGGTTACACCCTCAGAAATGCTATGCAGGGTCACTATGAGTCAGAACCAACTCCATGGTACATAACCAATACCACCACATCTGAGACCTGGTGTGGCGCTGTGGGTTAATGCTCTAGACTGCAAAGTCAGTTTGAACATCAAGATTGGTGGTTCAAACCCACCATCTGATACTCAGAAACCCTATACAGGGTCACTATGATTGGAACTAACTTGATGGCACTTAACAACATATATATATACACACACACACACACACACACACACACACATATTATATATGGAGTCCTGGTAATAAGTATTGGAGGTTGGCAGATCAAACTCACCAACCTCTCCTTAGAAATGCTATGCAGGGTTGCTATGAGTCTGAACCAACTTCACAGCACTTAATAACAACATATTATGTATATATATTTATATTAAAAAGCTGTAGTTCTGATGAAGTACACTAGAGAAAAATCATGGAGATGGGACAAGAAGTGTCTGGGTGAGGACTGAAATGTCAGCTAGGACAACCAGGGAAGTCTTCACTAATAACTTGATCTAGAATGAGAAAGTGAAGGCAAATGTCATCTGGGTATCTAGGCGGAGTTTTCCATACAAGAGAAGAGTAAGTGCAAAGGCCCTGGGGCTGGAACATACCTGGTGAGTTTCGGGGACAGTAAGAAAGCCAGTGAGATCAGAGAGGCAGCAGAGGACCAAGTCACACACAGCGAGAAATCACTATGGGACTTGGAGCAGAGGTGTGACTTTGAAGGGAACCATTCTGGTTGCTGTTCTGAGAAAAGACTTGAGGGGGCAAGGACTGAGCTAAGGCTCGGAAGGAGGCTACCACAAAAATCCACGCACGAGATAATGCTTGGGTGACTGTCGGGTGGTCAGAAGGGACTGATCTGCTGACAGACTGAATGTGGGGTGAGTGAGAAACATCAGGAATCACTTCACAGCTTTGGCCTGAGCAGATGAAAAAAAATGAAAGGGCTATTTCATGAGGTGGAGAAGAGGAAGGGAGAGGATCATTTGGGTGGGACAGCGGAGGGGATGAATTATCATACACTCAATTCTAAATACTTTTCAAATTTGAAATGCCTCCATCTGAGGTGCTGGGTCCATAGGAGTCTATCATGTGGGAAAGAGGTCTGGACTGGGCTGGGAATGTCAGACAGTACTTAATGCTGGGAGACTGGATAAAATGTTCTCAAGAAGGAGGGTAGGCAGAAAAGGCATTGAAGGTACAACCTAAAAGATCCACTAGAAAGATGTCTCCCAGGGAGTTCCCCTCTACAAAGAGGAACTGGTGGTACAGACCTTCCTTTCATGATAGCCCCTCACCCCTACCTCCCCACCCCAGACACACACAAACACACACACATGCAGCATTTAAGCCCGTCCTTCTTCCTATCTCTTGGTGGTGTCTCATTCTGCTGAGTGAGCAGGAAATTCCCTTCTGAGGACATTGTCATCTATCAAGAAAGTAACCCGTGGGCAGGCTTGCAGGGTATACCCTTTGGTTGGTTGATGATGCATGGAGGGGATTGTAACCATAGCAATGATACGATGTACGATAGAATGAATGTAAAACTAATGTTCTCCCATGTAAACTATCATATAATTCACAATAAAACACTATTAAAAAAAAAAAAGAAAGAAAGAAACCCGTGGGAGGCAGGAGATAGTACTTCGGGCTCTCAGACAAAAAATGTGACCGTGACATGGATGTTCTGGGGTCCCAGAGTTAAAGACTCCAGCTCTGACCTCATCAGAGTTGTATGATTTCAGGTCACTCAGTCTCACTCTTTCACACGTTTCATAGAAATAACACTGGTACCTCAAGGGTCACCTCGAACATGGTACACCAAACCAAAACAAACCCACTGGCAATAAATCAACTCTGACTCATAAGGACCCGTCCGATTGAACAAAGTAAAATTGCTCTTTGGGGTTTCAGAGACTGTCGATCTTCATGGGAGCAGATTGCCTCATCTTTCTCCAGCAGAGCTGCTGGTGGGCTTCAACAGCCCACGTTGAGGTTAGCAATCTAATACATAACCCACTGTGCCACCAGGGCTCCTTTAAAACAGGTAGTCAGGAGACACTTGTTGAATAAACAGCGAGTGAAGGAATGGTAAGAATAACATATTTTTTTAAAGTCTGACTCCAAAGGATAACCAATAAAAACATAACAGATGATAGATGACAACAATGTACCATCTGCTTGGCTCTGTCTCCTCTTTCTTTCTTTTTTCAATCTGTTCCTTTCCCTTTTCCCTGTCCTGCCCATAGTTTTCCTTTTCCCCATCCTGACAATTGAAAATCCATGTGTTTATACAGGGTCATACTGATGACAAAGCTTTGCCTTCTACATTTTCTCGCTCAAATTTTAAATTTCAAGGCAGCCACGTGAAGGAAGAAAATAAACCCCTCTGTCATAAATGACAAAACATGAGACTCAGAAAATCACTCCAGGAACATATTAAAGCAGGGACAATACAAAACAATGTTTTCAGTCCAAGGGTGGAGCCCCAATGTTGCCAAACCAAACCTGCCTAACATCCTGTTGGGTGGGTAAAGACAGGTGAGAGAGAAAGATCCAGAAACATAGGGAAGGGAAGGGACTTGTTTGGGGTCACGTGGGTAGCCCATTAAAAAAACAAAACTGGGCACTGAGCTATGACATGGGATCCCACACCCACGGGTTTGTCCCTCCCAATCACATGGTCACCAAAGACACGTGCTCCCTGTTACCAGCTTGCAGGTCTCCTGTTGGGGCAGGCGATGGACACAGGATTGGAAGATTGGGAGACTGTGGGATGACTAAGCGGTGGGGGGTCCTGGTATGGCGCTATAACAAGGATGGGCACAAGGTACATTTGCAATCTGGGGGGCAAAAGGGACTGAAGCAGGGAGTCAGAATTGAGGACTAGCAAATGTGATACCCTGTACAGGGTCGCTGTGGGTCGGAACAGACTCGACGGCACTTAACAACAACAAAAAGGTGATACAAATGGAAGCAGGCAGGGGAAAAGAGACAGGGAGGGTCATGTGGGAATGAACTGAGGCGGGAAAACTCAGGGCACTGAGAAGGGCACAGTCAGGAAACGGGACAACCCATGAGGTCTAAAGTGAAAGCGGTCAGGAAGGTCAAAATGGAGGGTACTAAAGGAAGGGCACATGAGAGAAACTGAGGTACTGAAGAGTCTCAGGATCGAAGCTGGAGTCACAGAACGGCACACAAGTTCGAGGTAAAACTAAAATGGTCACAGGATGGGAGTTGGGGGCGATGGAGGGTCCAGGGGAGGAAGATGGCGCACTAGGGATCACACAGGATTCAATGGAGGGCACGCCTCAAAATCGGGGGACACGAGGAACGTTCCAGTGAGGGTCTCGGTGGACACGACAAAGGCTAGGGTGCAGGTGAGGTTTGGCCCCTGCTGCGCCGTCACTCACCTCCGCTTACTCAGCACCGTCTACTTCCGCAAACAAACGTGCTTTAGGGCCACGTGACAGTCACGCGCCTTCTCTCCACCAATCGCCGGAGCCCGTGGTTTCTGTGGCTCCTGCTTCCACGCCGCAAGTCCCAAGCTGGAGGAGAGGCGGGGGCGGGGCTCCACGGCTCTTATAACTGCCCAATAGAAGGGCTCCTACATCCGTGCGAGGACGGGCTTCCAACTGGAGCCAATCGTCGGCGGCATGGCGCGGCCATATCTGTTCGGGGCGGAAAGTCCTGAGACGCCTCGTTGGCAGCCATGCTAATGAGTGGCAAGAGTCTCTTCCTTCTCCGCCCTCCCCTTCTATAACAGTAATAGGCCAGAATCCTGAACCCTGGTGTTAATGACCGCTCGTAAAGCTATAAATAAAACCGACAAAGACAAAGGCATAGCTGGCAAGGGAACCTGCTTTGATTTTCCGGGTATCCCACAATCTAGGGATGCCAGACTTCTTGTTGTTTTAGGTGCCATCGAGTCGGTTCCGACCCATAGCGACCCTGTACAGGGTTTCCGAGGGTGTAAATCTTTACGGGAGTAGAAAGCCTCATCTTTCTCCCGCGGAGCAGCTGGTAGTTTCGAGCCGCTGACCTTAAGGTTCGCAGCCCGATTCGTAACCACTACGTATGTCAGACTTAGCAAATAAAAAATAATGTTTTGGTCTAAGTAAAAAGAGAGTGACGCTAATATATTATTCGTTGTCTGAAACTCAGATTTAACAGTGTGTCCTGTAATTTTTTTTTTTCCCCTAGCAGCCTTATGCAAACACCCAAACTTGGTGCTTAATAAATTTCTAATAAAGAAATTTGGATAAATTACTTGCGGGCACAGTAGTATCTCATAGGCTTGTTCTGACGACTGTTGTTAAGTATCCTCGAGTGGGTTCTGACTCATAGTGACCCTGTACAGGGTCCTGAGAAGAAGCTGGTGGGTTTGAACTGCTGACCTTATGGTTTGCAGTCCAGTGCTTATCCTACAGCGCCTCACCAGCGGTCCGTTCTGACCAAGAGTTACAAATTATTTCCATGCCTGCACATAGTGGGATTTCAATAAATGGCAGTTGTTAATGATTAATAATATGGATAGTGAGGGTGGACACTGAGGGTGGACCTTAGCCTTAGATCTGCCTCTGAATAATCAGGTTACTTTTCTCTAGGGAGTCCATCCAAGCTTCCTAGAGCATTTTCATTAAGAAAATGATCCCCCAATATTAGATCTAGATGAATTCCCCAGACTGTCCTCGGCCCTCGAGGGACGTGGACTTGCTGTTACTGTTCCTGTGAAGAGAAATGGGTTTCCTCCTCAGTACCTCAGATCTGGAGCAGCCAAAGTCTAGTTAAGAATAAAACTAACCATAGTAACTAATACTTGTACAGAGCCTTCCTAGTTACAAAGTAATTTCAAGTCCATTGTCCAAGGATATAGTTACAGGTGAGAAACTGTTCTCTATAAACCAAGGTTGGAAATTTGATACAGGGTTTCAGCTGTTACTAAAAGAAAGGGTTGAAGACTGGAATTCTCAATGAAAATATCTTGCCCTACACAGCCCCAAATAAATTAAGTTAGAGTTATCATTATCAGGAATCTTGCAAAAGGCCAGGCATTCCACCCACCACTGAGCAATCTGATCTGAGAAAATGCGTAGGTTCAACGGAAAAGTCCTATTCTTCAGCAAACACCCACCATTGTGTTCACAGTTGGTCTGTGTGGCAACTTGGGTGGCACAGACATGGAACCATCTCACACGCAGAACAAGTCAAGGGAGGCTGGATCAATCACTGGAAATACTCAAGGGTCCACAAAAGATATTCATAAAACAATCTCAGACAGAGCCTGACATATTGAGTAGCTCTCCCGCTAGATATTTCTGGTGGAAAGTGTTGACTGAGTGGGTAAGGCATGAGATGAAGTATAGGCAGTTACTGAGCAGAATCGAAAGAGCAAAAAGGAGGGGCAGTAAACACAAGGGAGTACACCGTGTTGGGTTTCCGCTGGATTGTACATTATAGTTGTTACTAAGTGCTGGTGAGTCCGTTTGGACTCATAGTGATTTACTAGGAGTGACTGGTGAGTTTGAACTGCCAGCCTTGCTGTTCAAACCAACTTTGAAGTCAAGTGTTTATCCTAAGGCACCACACCAGGATTGTACCTTAAGGACAATTTAAGCTGGCAGTTCAAGTCAAAGAGCTTATCATGAAGGGCTATGTTAGGCCCTGCAGCTATAAACAGAGCAAGGTACCCGCCCCTCAAAAGCTCAGAGTCCAGAGAGACAAACTAGACCAAGTGTCCATCAAAGAAACAAAGTATCAAATAACCAGTAGGCTAGTGATTGCAGTTTCAGGAGTCCTGGTGTGGCACTGTGGGTTAATGCTCTAAACTGCAAAGTTGGTTTGAACTACAAGTTCAGTGGTTCAAGCTCACCAGCTGCTTCCTGGAAACCCTATACTGCGTCGCTATGGGAACTGACTTGACGGCACTTAACAAGAACAACAGTGCAGTTTTACACTTCTTGCTTCATTTTAGTTTTACAATAGTCCTGAGAAGTAATAGTATTATGCCCAGTTTATAGATGAAGGAACTGAGGTTCTTAGAGGAAGAGATGACCCCTGGAATCACACGTCAATGAAAGACAGAACCTATCCCTTCCTAAAACATGCCAGGTAATGTTCCTAGTACTGAGAAAATCACAGTGAACAAAATAGACACAAATCCTGGCCCTTTTGGTCATAAAACAGAGAAGGAAAATAAAAGGCGTGTTTTGCTAAAGTCTTCAGGTGATGTGTTATGATATCTTAATTTTAAAAAAACCAATGTTGATTTGGGTTGTATATGTGAGTGTCATTGCACTAGACCTTCTGTTTTCAGTGTGGTTGGACATTTTTATTAAAAAATAATAATAATTGAGAAAAATAGTATGATATTGTTGCTAACTACTGTTGAGTAGACCCTCCACTCCTGGTGGTCCCATGTGTTACAGAATAGAGCTGCTCATAGGTGTGTTCCTTAGCTGTAATCCTTGTGGGAGGCAGTTCATCATGACGTTCTTCTGCCGGTGGATCTAAACTACCATCCTTTAGGTTAGCTGCTGATGGCAAACTGCTTACCACACTCAGGAATATTGTGTGTGATCCTGTTGATTCTGACTCAGCGACCCACACTCAATCTCAAGGTCAGTTTGAACTGCAAGGTTGGTGGTTCAAACTCACCAGCTGTTCCTCGGAAACCCTATACAGGGTCCTCATGAGTTGGAACTAACTCAATGGCACACAATAACAACAACGTGACAGACCAGAACTGTCCCAGAGGATTTCCCAGCTCTGGTAGCGTAGTGGTTATGAATCAGGCTGCGAACCTAAGGTCAGCAATTCAAAACTACCAGTTGTTCTGTGGGCGAAAGATGAGGCTTTCTGCTCCTATAAAGATTTATAGCCTCGGAAACCCTGCACAGGGTCGCTATGGGTCAGAATCGACTCGACAGCACTTAACAACAACAATAACAATCTTTATAGGGGACTCCTGGTATGGCACTGTGGTTAATGAGCCAGACTGCAAAGCCGTTTGAACTGTAAGGTCCACAGTTCAAGCTCACCAGCTGCTCCTTGGAAACCCTATACAGGGTCGCTATGGGTCAGAACTGACTCAACAGCACTTAACAACAACAATCTTTACAGGAGCAGATCCCCAAATCCTTTCTCCTGTGCAGCAACCAATGGTGTGTTCTAACTGCTGACCTTTGGTTAGCCATTAACTACTGGGGCACCAGGGCTCCACCCTCCCAGGAAAGATGGTGATAAATGCTATGGAGTAAAAGCAGGGAAAAGAGATCAAGGAGGGCTGTAATTTTTAAAGAAAGAGACCAGGACTGTCCCTACTAAAAGGAAACATATAACTACAGTCCTGTTGGACTCCTGGTGTGGTGCTGTAGGATCAACATTGAACTGTGAATCACAAGGTCAACAGTTGCTATGAATCGGAACCAACTCTATTGTACTTACCAACATCAATAACATGGAGCCCCTAGGTGATACAAAAGTTAACATATTTTGTTGCTAACCAAAAGGTTGTAGGTTCAAGTCCACCCAGAGGCACCTCAGGAAAGAGGTCCTGGCAGTTTAATTTCATAAAATCAGCCACTGAAAACTCTGTTCATGGGCTCGCCAGGAGCAGGAATCAAGTTGATGGCTGGCAATGGTTTGGTTCTTACATTAAGGTCTCTGAGTGGCAAAAACAACTTGCAATCAGCTATTAACCTAAAGTGGCTCTGAAGAAGAAAAGCCGCGTAAACGGATTGCATCAAGATTGTTGTTGTTAGGACCCTGGAGTTGGTTTCAACTCATAGCAAACTTGTATAGGGTTTCCAAGGAATGGCTGGTGAGTTTGAACCACCGACCTTGTGATTCAAACAGACCTTGCAGTCCAGTGCTTTATTTCACAGAGCCATACCAGGACTCCATAAATATTGTTGTTGTTATTAAGTGCCATCGAGTCAGTTTCGACTCACAGCAACCCCTGTATAGGGTTTCTAAGGAGCGGCTGGCAGGTTCGAACCGCCAACCTTGAGACTCAAACTGACCTTGCGATCCAGCACATTAACCTGCTGTGCCACACCAGGACTCCCCATAAAGATTATAGCCCAGAAAACCCTATAGAGCAATTCAACGCTGTAAACACATGGGGTCACCCTGCGTGGGAATCCTGGAAGCAGCAACAGGTTTGTTGTTGTTGTTGTTGTAGTTGTTGTTAAATGCTGTCAAGTTGGTTCCAACCCATAGCAACCCTGTATAGGGTTTCTGAAGAGCAGCTGGTGAGCTTGAACCACCGACCTTGCAGTTCAAACGGCTTTGCAGTCTGACACATGAACCCGCAGCACCACATCAGGTTTGGTGTGGTTCTGAAATTGG